CTTCTGTTTTCAGAAGTTCGTAGCTGTATCGCCAGTAAACCAGTCCTCCTTCATGCTTGCATGCGGGAGAGGTTTATTCATGTGACGCATGGCCAGTTTGTCAGTTTGTATTTTTTTCATGTGACGCATGAAGGATCAATGTCAATTTGTCAGTGCCTTCAGGTCCGTATGGACCACATCCTTCAGTCAGTTTTGTCCTGTGACGCTTGCGCCTCCTGGGGCGTCTTGGTCTCGAACTTCACCGAGCTCCGGCGGACGCTGCCGCACGCCGACGGCACCGCAGCTTCCGGCGCGGAGGCCCACGGCAGCGCGGAGAAGCGCTCAGCGAAGGCCTCCGGGCAGAGAAACCTGCCCTCAGATCCCAAGGCGAAACAGATCCCTGAGATCCCTCTTTGTGCCCTCAGATCCCCCACTAAAAGCCTAACTTTTAGGGGGGTAAATGGAAACTACTCAACACAAAAAGGCTAAAAGGCTGAAGGGATGGCTGGGAGCCACCAAGAAACGGATGGGATCCGGTTGTCGCTTTGGCAAGCAGCCACCCGAAAAAGGGCACCAAGTCCGAAACGGTTTGGAAGTGGGTTTCAGGTGGCGCTTCAGGTGAGTTTCTAGGGGTACCTTCCATTTCCATTCTTTCCAGGGATCCTTCTTTCTAGAAAACCTCCGGAAACCCAGGGAAAACGGCCGGTTTTTGGAAAGAACGATGGTTGAAAAGAATGGGGAATCAACCCCTAGAATGGGATCCGGTCGTTGTGGCAAGCCACCCCAAAAGGAGAACCAAGTCCAAAACCGCCATGTATTTGTTGTGTCTAACCAAAGTTGGGTCGAGCTGGCGTGCTAAAACGGTCCCAACCAGTATGTCCAACTTGGGAAGCGGTTTTCAGATGGCCATGGGAAACGAAGAATTGATTCTTAAAGATTGTTCCCCCGTGCGAAAACAAACTACAGAACAAAAAACATTTGGCGCGGGGGGACCAACAAATGGCGTCCGTGTAACGCAACCCCAGAAAGGGTACCCTCAAAATCAAACAGTGTGACCGCTGACTGCGCATCACCCGGCCAGGGGTGGCAAACGCATGATGATGCACATGCAAGAGCCATTCATGGCCATCAACCAGCTCAAGGTGGTGCTTCCCGAAAAGGATTGTGGGCGGCTCATGCCAAACAAATAAGCCACTGGCAGTTCAGACAACTGACAAGCAACCAAGTAAATAACGAAGCAGGCAAGCAGGCAAGCAAGCTGGAAGCGAGAAAGCAAGCAACAATGTTCAAATACCAGCCTGCTTTCCAAGCTTCTCCCTCAAAAACACACACTCCAAACTTGGACTGACTTAGATGCACTGCAAAAAGTGTTGTAGCCTTTTATGCTGGTTGAAAGGGAAAAGGATTGGACACACAAACAGTGACGTCTTGCTTGTACGGACCCCCTGTCCGGTGCCAGGTTAGTCTTGCTGGAGCTCAGCAAATAAGGGAATGAACCTGGGGAACCCCCAAATAAAGGAAGCCAAATCGGGGATGGCTTTTCTCGGGGTCATGCCATTTCTCATTCCCTTCCTATCTGAAGACCTGGAAGACCTTGGCCACTTGGAGAGAACAGATGTCCAGTGCCATGATGTGCGATGTGAGCCGCGCTGCACGGTCCCACCGTGCAGAACTGCCCAATCCACCTTGTAGCAATTTGCCTTAGGTGCATGTGCATCTTAATCTAGTGACAGGCTTGTGCACTTCAACATGATGTCCAGTGCCATGATGGGAGTGAGCATAGGTGGCCTTTTGGACAAATAGATGGCCCTGGTAAATGGAATAACCCCCATCTAAACCAGGAATCGCCCTCTCTTTTTCTTGAGCAAACCAAACAAAAAGGACACCTATGCAGCGAGTGAGCAAGCAGCATTGGTCCAGCTGCCCCCCGCCCCACACTCTGTTCACTGAGAGTCTGTCTGCGCATCCGATGCGCAAGAGAGTCACACATTCAGGGCTCACTCCAAACCAACCAAAAAGGACAGCTATGGGAGTGAGCTTAGTCGTTCATCTCGCTCGCCCCCAGCTCGCTCCCCGCTCGCACCTCGCCTCGTTCTGGCGAGCGGTGGTGCTGCTGAGCTCGTGAGCCCGGGGCTCGCGCCCTGCACTAGCTCCACGCACCCGGGGGGCGGGGGGCAACTTCCATTTTTTTAAGACCCCTGGTTTTATTTTTTTTATTTTTTTACACAGTAGTGATAGATTCCCTTTGAAACCAACAGGGGAAAATAAACAGATTCTTAAGCAAATGGAAGTTAACTGCGGTCTTTTTCAGGTACCCTCCCACCAATTAACATGGAACCTGACAGGGGGTAAGGGTTCTCTGTCAGGTTCCATGCCTGGTTCAAGGGAAACCAAAAGAAGCAACTCACTTTGGGGCGCCCCAACTTTGACGCGTACCTGTATTCTGAAAAAGGAACACTCGAATGGAGTGGTTGGTCTATCCTCCCGCATGGAAGTGTGCAGGCCCGCCTTCCACAAATAAAGCAGTCTGCTTGAGTCTGCAATTTTGCATTATTTGCAACTTCGAAAGTTTGACTCAAGGCTCCATGTATAAAGGAGCCACATTCCCACAAAATGCCTCGTGTTTCTGCCGGGTGAGTTCACTATTATCAAATGATCATTGAGGAATGTTTTCCCCAAACAGTCCTTGGGGCCAAGGTGGACCAATGCAAGCTTTCACTCATCGGGAAAAACACACATGAGCAACTTGTGAACCTCCTATACAGAAAAAGCTCGTCGGCTAGCGGTTATCGGTTTTTGCCACCCTATCGTTCCTGAAGACTTTTTGGCACGCTACTGCACATGTTCGTATGTCATGTTCAGCGGTTCACATGTTGGTCTTCCAGAGGTTTTGCAGGGCCCTCACATGCCGTTGGGTGTTTAAGCCATTCTAAAACGAGGGTCCGTCAATTCGGACCTACAGCTGCGGTGTTGTGGAATCCACTAGACAATTGCAACTGTTGAAAGGAAATCCACAAATCCCGTGGCCTCCTTAAGCAAGCAGCCAATCGCCCTTCTCTAAGATCTCAGCTGAACCCTGACAATATGTGACATGCCTGGCCTGGCATGTCTAGGGATGCGCTTTCAGGAAGCGAAGCAAATTAAAGGTTGCAACTGAAAGAGGAACTGTTCAAGAAGCTTGGCCACGTGAAATGCATGGGTACGACAAAATAAATTTTGAGGCCCGTAGCCAACATCTAAGGCTGTCATTTCAACTTTGAACTCAATCGGCTTATGAAAACGGGCTGAAAAGAGTGTGATTGTCGTGTAAACAGGCTGGCACGACCCCCACCCCCCCAAAACAAACAAACAAAACAAACAAAAAAGACAACATGTGCGCCAATCAAGAGCAATGAGCCCAAGCTCCCAGTCTTCGACTTGAAGAAATTTGTCTCCACCTGAGTATCATGGTCCCCCATAGATTCGATGGTCCAAATGAAATCCGATCATAAGGGTTCATCCGAGATTCAAAGGTTGATGAACAGCCCTACCAAAAGTGTGTTGATTACAGACCCACCTGGAGGCATCAAGCTTGCCGCGCCTGATGCCATGAGTCATGGCGAGGCCCCTTTGCAGGGGGCCGCATGTACTCTCGTCTTTAAGCGATGATGATACATTGTTTGAGTAACGGAAGCAAGCATGAAATCCACTCTGCCAATGTTCATTTAACGAACGGGCAATGCGTGAAGCCATGCCACCGTGTGCCAATTCCCTGTGACCATGTTTGTGAAAAGCTGGGCATTGTAGCTTGAATCTATTGCACGACCCACCCTTCAGTCGCTTCCGTTTGCTTTTGAAAAGACTCCTGGCCTTGAACCTCACTGCTACCTGCTGTTTTTTTGTTTCTTTTGGATCCCAGATTGAAACAGTCGGTAACGTGCGCAACTTACCTTCTAGCCATTCGGCCGCTTCCGACGGTTCTTTCCCTCTGGGACCTACAAAACAGCTGGCGGAAGTCGGACGAGGTTGCTCACAAGGGAGCTAATTGCTGGCGTGTGCAGTGTTTCATTTGCTTTTTCTCACTCATATTAGAATAAAGGATCCCAGTATACGTAGGCAAAGGATGGCTTTGCGACCTATCCACATCCTTACAACGGCCAAAGCTGATGCATGCCCATTTATTCCGGTCTTCAACAATCTTTTGTGTCATGACCAATTGACCAAGCCGACCCGAACTAATGACAAATCTCACCGGAGCAGGAACACACTAGGCCAGCCTCGTTCCTAGATCCGACATCCCTCAACCTGCCAATCACAATCCTGGCTTGATTACAGCAATTTCCGAATTCTTGCTCGTGCTCGAGCTGTCTCTTGCGTTCTTCAACCCCGTTCGGCCTTGCGACGCACGACCTTTCGACTTCCAAAAGTGCCTGCTCTGCACAGCGTGCCAGTTCGGGGTCATAGTCTCGGTTCCCTCGACAACCTTGATACTTACACCTCCTCCCTCAAACAGCTGTGACACAATTAATGATCCTCAATAGGAACCCTTGCTGGGTTGGACTTTGACCCCCTTGCAACAACTTGCACCAACTCTGCTCCCGCAAATTGATGCCTGTTATGTCGACCGTGGTTTGTTCTACCTTAGTTCGTGGATCCGAGGAAAAGCCAAAGAACAACCAAATTCGATCCTTGTACTCGTCCAGACAACCCTCTGCAAAGCCCCTAACTCGGGGCGCCCGGTGACACAGGTCACCACTGGTGCTTGCCAGGATGGGAGTTTACCCTCCCTCCCACTAAGAGAAGGCACCTGTGGGAGGCTACTGGAAAATAACAATCCTCGTGTAAGGACCCCCTGTCAGGGGCCATGGTGGGAGTGAGGGTAGGCCCTGTTGCAACACGACTTGGTTGCATCACCAAAACCATCAAAACGCATCCAAACTGTAGCAATTCAAGCTGACTCACTGAATCACTGAATTCCGAAGAGCCGCCCAACCGGGTTTTGCTAATGATGCTTCCCCAGATTTTACTTCCAAGGCCCCCTCGCTTTGGTGAAGGTCACATGCAAGGAGTCCGACCATGTGGGGTCCTACCCGCGATCTGGCAGCAAGTCCCATGAGCCAGCCATGTAAAAACAACTCCGCGTTCATTTGGGAAGCCCGGAAAAGCATCACTGGGCGTGTCTGGAACCCCCTTTTTTTAACGGACAACACTTTGGGTGGGTCCCCTAAAAAAGACACAGCCACTGTGCAGAGGTCAAGGTTCAAGACGGCCAGAAGTGGACAGCTGAGCCAAAACCGAAGCGGACAGTAACACGATTCTGTGCTGATTTCAGTGAGATATGCAGCAGTCGTGCCGTCGTAACCAGTGGCTGCTGGAACGATCAGTGGCTCTCCAGTGTTGGTGTTGCTTATATTAGTATATCATATATGGTGCTCACATTTAACCCTGTCCGTGATACCAAAAGAGGCCGGATTTCTGGTGGGTGGTTTCCCTTCGGCTTCTCGACAAAAACTGACCGCACGAGTTCGCCGGCTCCTGTGTGGTCCCGCGTGGAACCTTCGATACCACCTGCGCCACAAAGGGCCTTGGCCGGAATCATCTCCATATGATCTCTATGAGTCCATGTGGGTATGGCTCAAAAAACCGGCACCAAAATGGAACCCTAGCAAGTGGAAACATGGACCAAAACCTGCGTAACCCTTCCTGTTTAATTTTGAGCCACACCCATGTGGTATTGACAACTGGCGATAGGGCAAAGCTCTTGTTTTCCTGACGCCTTACCATTGTGAATTCAACTGGAACATGATGCATCACCCAAGCATCTAGAAATCATTCAGACCAACCCTGTGTCTTGACATTTGACAAACAAAACGCCGCCAATCAGAACCAGCAAATGCTCCACCCATGGTCGCAACTTATTGGATGGGTGAGCAGATGATATGATCCACAAGTCAACATATTGGGTTCCCCTGAGAGGACATGGACATTAAGTGAGTCCACTGATGTTTTGAGGGAAATCGAGTGAGATCCCCATGTCCCTCTCAAATTAACTATGTAGACCAGTATCATGGGACCTGTTGGCTCGAGGCAATGACATCCCCTGAATGGCCTGTCAGAAATCGGGAGCAAAGAAAGAAAACGAAGCCACACGGAGAATTCCCCAACCCTGTTTTAACACGCGGCGTCTATTTCACTCTGCTGCCCAAGCCCAAACCTTACACCCTACATCCTCATGAACCTGACATGTTGGCCGCTGCTTAATAGTTTCTGATCTTAAACAAGCAGGATGGTTGGATTTTGCAAAGGACAGCCTAGCCAGGCTAGCTGGACCGGCAATGCCAGGCTTATCCTCCACTGACGGGAGAGGCTGCTACAGAGCAATCAGCAAGCACGCTTGTGACCCGTGGAAGCTGAATTAAACCCGTCATAGCAAAGACGGCCTCACAAGGAAAGGATTCCCAAGATGCGAAACCGCAAGCAACAAGCGAAGCGAATGCT